GGGGGGGGGGGATGGGGTGCGTGTGTGTGCGCGTGTGTGCATATGTGTGCATTTGCAAGGTGTGTGTGCGTTTATGTGTGTGTGCGTGTGGTGTGTGGCTTCCCCTCCCGCGCCCTCCTTGCTTGCCTTGCCTCTGCTCTGCCCTCCTCCAGCCCCTCCTTCCCCCTCCTGCCCCACCTCCTCTGGGCCCAGCCCTTCCCCCTCCCCCTCTCCTCCCCCCGAACCCTCTCCGCACCACCCACCACCCACCTGGATGACCTCCGCATCCGCCTGCTTGCCGGCATCCACAGCCACATACGCCTGCTGGTCCAGAACGTAGTCAAAGCTGCGGGGGGTGGGAGGGGAGGGAGGTGGGGGGCGAGACGGTGATGGCAGGCCACTTTACCCGAACATGCTGCTGTGGCAGGACGGGGAGCGTCGCGAGGCAAGGGGCAGCCGGGGGCTCCCGGCGCGGGCTCCCAGAGAACGCGCGTGCCCGCCGCCGTGGCCCCCTCCCCAGCGCTGGAACGAGGAGCACGCAAGGGGCGCACGCAGCCGCGGCGCTGGGCTGCCGTCGGGGGGTGCGTACCGGGGGGCCCACTTGCGGGAGCCGAGGCGTGCGGTGTATGAGCAGTTGTCGACCATGAAGGCGACGCCGCGGGCGTGCATGTAGGGGTTGAGCGAGTCCACAGCCTCGATGATCGACTGCAGGCAGGGGTGGGACGCGGAGGGTGTGTGTGTGTGGTGGGGTGGGGGCGTAGGGGGGCCCGCGTGGGTGGGGGGCAGAGGTGTGGTCGAGCACGGGTGGCATGCAGGCAGGAGTCGCGGGCAGGCAGCACGAGGATGGGAGAGAGCGCGGGTGGAGGGGCGTGGCAGCCGGCCGCATGCCAACGCGCCGGCTGGGAGCTCCCTCTGCAGCGTCCAGCGCCCGAGGCGCCAGCGGCCACCACCCGAACCCACACCCAAGGCCACCCCACGCCGCCCCACCCCACCGGCAGGCACCCCACCCCACGCCGCGCCACGCCACCCACACCGGCAGGCACCCACCTCATTGCAGATCTCGGAGTAGGGGTGGCCCTTCTCCTGGAGCGTCTGCACGGTGGCCATCATGGTGGCGATGTACACGCCTGCAGGGGCGGTACGGCGACGGTACGGGTGAGGTACGGGTGCGGTACGGGTGCGGTACAGGTGATGTACAGTGGTGGTTTGGATGAGGTATGGATGCGGTACAGGGGCGAGGCAGAGGCAGGTGAGGGAGGAGCGGGGCAGGCCAGGCGGCCAGCACGCCCCCAGGCTGAGCGCTGTGCGCTTGCGGGCGGCGCGCGGCAGCCGAGCAGGCGGGCGCGGCCCACAGAGCAGCCCCCGCACGGCACCAGCGCAGCCCAGCGCGGCACCGACCGCCAGGCGCATTCTCACCGGCGGTGAAGGGGTTGAGCGGGATCTGGTCCTCCTTGCGCTCCGCCCGCACCTTCTGGCCCACCTGCGCGCCGCCAGGGAGGCAGGAGGGCGGCAGGCCCGAGGCGGTCAGCAAGGCAGCGCCCGTCAGGCAGGCAGGCCATAGCCAGCACTCCTGGCCCCCACCCCCGTGCTGCGCTGCTTGCCGCCCCACCATCGCCACGTGCAGCCAGCACCAAACACGCAGCGCACCACCACCACGACCTCCTGCCGAACCCTCCCTGCAGCCAGCCCAACGCCGCTGGCTGCCCAGCCACACACGCAGCCGCACACACGCAGCCACACACACACGCACAGCCGCACGCACGCCACACATACGCAGCCGCCCATCCCACCTGCCACATGTGGGTCTGGTCGATCTTGCCCATGGGCCAGCGGCCAAAGCGGGACACAGCGTTGACCACGCTCTTAATCTCGTTGCCGCACGCCACATCCTGCGGAGCGGGCGCGGCCGCTGTGTGAGCGCGCCGGCCAGCCGGTCCGCCCATCTCGACCAGCCAGCAGCCGCCGCACACCCCCGCGCCCGGCGCCTCGCCATGACTGGCCGCCACACGCCCGCAGCACCCGCAGCACCCACAGCACAGCGTGACCACAGTGTGACCACAGCACGCACCTCGTAGATCTCGTAGCAGATGTCCATGGCGGGCCCAAAGGCGGCGGAGTAGGCCTGCTCAAACACCTTCTTGTCTGCAATGGAAGCAGGAGGGAGAGTGGGAGGGAGAGGGGGAGGGAACGGCAGGGTTGGTGGCGGTGGGGGGACCGAGCGAGCAGGGGTGAGGCGCGGCCGACAGGCAGGCTGATGCTGCGCAAGTTGCCTGGGCGCTGCGGGAGGGAGGCCGCGGCCCTCGCCCTCGCCCCGCACATGTGTGCTGCCGTCGGCATGCCCACGCCGCAGCCCGGGTCGCGCAGGCCCAAGCGGCCCCCACCCACCCACCCACCGGCGTCACTGAACTGGTTGTAGACTCCCAGCATGCCGTCGCGGGAGATGATGCGCGTGATGGGGCCCGTGATCGACTCCACGCTGTTCTTGAAGGCATCCTCGTCGCTGCGGGCAGGGCGCGGGGCAGGCGGGGAGGCCAGGCGGGAGGTTGGAGCAGGGACAGGAGCAGGGACAGGAGGGGATCAGGACGCTGTGGGGCATGCCGGGCGGCAGGAGCGAGCAGGGAGGAGAGAAGCGGAGCGCAAACACAAACACGGCAGCGGAGAGGGGAGCGGGAGCGGGAGGAATAGCAGGCGGTCGGGAGCGGCAGCCCAGCGACAGCCCCGCGGCAGCCCTCCTCCCAGCACACGCCACCACCACCACCACCACCAACAACAACAACAACGCCACCAAACCACCCCCCCGGCTGCGGACCTCATGCCCTCCCGAGTGTAGCGGCGGAACAGCGACTCCACCACGCCGTGCACGCCGCCCAGGATCACGCACCGCTCGCCGTAAATGTCGCTGCAGCGGCAGCGCGCGGCGGCGGGCGGCGCGGGGCAGCGGGCAGCGTTCAGTGGGCTGCCCGGCAGAGGGGGGACTGACCTCATGCCCTGGCGCACGTAGCGGCGGAACAGCGACTCCACTATGCCGTGCACCGCGCCCAGCAGCACCGCCCGCTCGCCGTAAATGTCGCTGCAGCAGCTCCGGAGGGCCGCGCCGCCTCGGCAGGCAGGCCACGGGCAGGCTCCCGCGGGCCGGCACCACTCCCAAGCACCACGCAGGATGCAGGCGCGCGCTTCGGGGCGGCAGCACAACGGCAGTGCAAAAGCAGGACAGTGCATGCAGTACAGCAGCAGTACGGTTGCGGTACCAGCAGTACCTCTTGTACTCGCTCTCCAGGGTGGTGCAGAAGGCAAAGGGCGCGCCCACGGCCACCGCCCAGCCGATGGCCACGTCGGCAGCAGTGCCAGTGGCATCCTGCAGGGAATGGCGCATGGGGCGGGGTGTGGCGCATGGGGCGGGGTGTGGCGCATGGAGCGGGGTATGGCAGTGAAGGGTAGAGCGGTGGCAGGGCCGGTGGGCCACGCGGTCCCGGCAGCAGGCGCAGGGCTGCGCATCTGCTCTTCCCCGCAGCGCTCAGCGGCCATCCCCCCGCCGGCGCCGCCGAGCCAGCCAGCCGCCAGCTGAGCGGCGCAGCAGGAGCGCTGCCGCTGCCGCTGCGGCCCCACACCCGCCCACCCACCCATGCGCACGGTTCACCCAGCAGGGCACCCCGCTCGTCCACCCATGGTGCACCCACCTGGTGGACAGCAAAGGATGCGTTGATGCCCGCCCCGTTCACCTCCTTGCCCTGCTCGTACAGGCGGCGCACCGAGGGGCCCATGCCCTTGGGGGCCACCAGCACCACATTGATGTCGGGCCGGAAGTCCACGCCGTCGTTCTGGGGAGGGGGAGGCAGGAGGGAAGGGACGGGGAGGGAAGGAGTGGAGTGAAGAGACGGCGTGGAGGGACGGGCGGGGGGGGCAGGGCAGGGAAGCCAGAGGGCAGGGAGGGCAGGACAGGGCAGGAAGGGCAGGGCAGGGAGCGGGGGATCGTGGGAAGGGAGGGGAATGTCGCAGCGGGGGTGGGGTGTTGGAGGGAGTGGGTTGAGGAGAGGGGGGAGGCGGAGGGAGGCAGCAGGGCGGAGGCAATGCGCGGGCGTACGGGCTGGCGGCTGCGAAAATGTGCTAGGTCCGCACCTGCATCACGCCGAGCAGGAAGCCGTGGGAGAGGCCGAGCGTGGCGCCTGGCTTCATGGCGGCCAGGATGCGGGGGTAAAGCTTGGCCTGCGGTACGGGCGAGGCGGTACAGGCGGGGCGGTACACAATGGGGAAGGTGACGAGGAGAGCGGCGGCACAGGGGCCGCGCTACGCGGCGCTCTCCTTCTCACTGCGGCCATCCGGCGGCAGCCTGTCGCACTGCCCGCTGCCCTTGCAGCGCCCGCAAGAAGCTGGGCGATGTGGAAGGCATGACAGCCAGGCTGTGACCAGCACAGCCCCGCAGAGCCCAGGCCAGCACGGGGCCGCGCCTCCCCCACCAACAGCGACAAGGGAACCACCCGCGCTGCGTCCGAGGCGAGCCCGCAGCGCTGCGCTGCGCTGCGCGGCGTGGGCAGGGCAGCGCAGCAGGGCGCAGCGGGCCGGGCGTCGCACCTGCGCGGCGTCGGAGATGAGCAGGATGACCATGTCTGAGCTGGCGATGACGTCAAACACCTCGCCCAGGGTGCCGTCGGCCTCGGTGAACCCCACAGCCCGCGCCTCCTCGCACGACGGCGAGTCGGGGCGCAGGCCGATGGCCACCTGCGGGGAGCGAGGGGAAGGGGCGACATCGCGGCTGGGTGAAGCAGGGCGCAGGAGTGCAGGATTGCAGTCGGTCTGCAGCAGAGGCTGCTGTGGAGCGGTGTGGGGCGGCCAGGCCTGGCCCCCGGCACGCAAGGCTGCGCGCAGTGGCGCCGCTTGCAGGGAGCGTAGCGCGGCTGCCCCGTGCCGCGCGCTGGCAGCTGCGTGCCGCGGGCCGTAGCCACCCAGCTGCCTCATGCCCGTACCGGCCGGCATCCGGCAGCGACAGCAGTTCAGCCAGCAGCCAGTGCGGCACGTTTGGTAGCCATGGCAGCAGCAAGGACACACCACAGGAGCAGCAAGGGCACACCACAGCAGCAGCAAGGGCACACCCCACAGCCACAGCAGGCACAGCGGCCACAGCGGCCACAGCAGGCACAGCAGGCATAGCAGCCACAGCGGCAGCTCGCCTTGGTGTCCATGCCCGCCTCCTTGAAGGAGTCCCGCAGGTTCTGGGCCTGCGCGGGCGCCTGCGACCCCCACCCAATCACGCCGATGGTCTTGATGCCCTTGAATGCCTCCGGCAGCTTGGAGTACTGGTCGCGGCCGCCGCTGTGGGCAGAGGGAGGGAGGAAGGGGCAGCGGCAGCAGGTGGGCGGGCTGCGGGCACTGGCTGCGGCACGCGGCGCCGGTATGACCAAGCCAGCGGCGGCTGTGGACACATCACGGCTGTGCCTCTACTGCAATGCTCCTTAAATCTGGTGGATGCTGGCCCAGCTATGCCAGCCAGTCGCGCCATCAGCCGCCAACTGCAACTCCCAAACTGTGGCTGTTGGGCTGCCGCCGGCGGTGGCTGTGGGTGCCGTTATCCACCCACGGCGCCCCAACCCTAGGCGTGCAATGTGCGCCGCGGTGGAGCTCACCGGATGATGTACTCCTGCTTCTCGGCAAAGCTGCAGACAGTAACAAAGCACACAGTGAGGGAACGCGACATTGCAAGCATGCAGGCTCACACACCCCTGCAACGCAGCGGCATTGTGACCCCGGACACCCCCTGACTTCACACACGCAGCGTGGGGCGCCGGGGCGTCACCCACTTGACGAGCTCCTTGGGCCAGACTTTGGTGTTGAAGTCCAGCTCCACGGCGCTCTGCACCTTCACAGTCCGGCGGCCGGCACGGCTGGCCCGCAGGGGAACGGCCCGCAGCGCCCGAGAGGGCCGGGCCACGCTGCTGGCAGCCACAGCCACCTTGCTCGCCATTGCGGTCGTTGCCATATTGAACAGACCCCTGGGCGTGGTCCACAGGTTGGGCACTGAAAGAGGCCGGGGCAGGCGCTGGGCGCGCTGCAAGCGCACCCCCATCCGCCTTTCTTGCGCGGCCCCGTTGGCAACGGGGATGGGGTGCCCTACCCAGTGCCCCAGGCCGCCCAGCTCGCTTTGCACGTGCTTCCCGGCATTGGTGTGCATGCATGCAGGCCCCATGCACCCACATTGCTGAGCTCTAGGCTCTCATCACCCTGCCGACACCCCCCTCCAATGTCGCCCCGGGTGCTGCGGGAGTTCCAGGCATGGATGGAAAGCGTGGGAATCGAGCCAAACAGCGACGCCATCGAGCTGGTGGACGCCGCCCAGGGGTGCAGCGGCCTGGCACTCGGCGTGCGGGTGCGGCGCCTGCCGACCATCCGCCTGCCACCTACGCCTGCATGCTGCTGCACTGGTGGTGGAGCTATCGATCTAGAGGGAAGGAGCGCTTCCACAGCACACCGCGGTGGAAGCCTCAAGATCCCCACCAGCCGCGGCCCCAATGCCAGCACCCTGCTGCCGCCGCCTGCAGGCGGTTCGCGATGTGGCCGAGGGAGAGCGGCTGTGCGCCATCCCCAAGGCCGCCTGCCTGTCCATCCGCACCACGCAGCTGGCCGACGTGATCGAGGCCGAGGAGCTGGGTGGCGGGCTGGGGCTGGTGCTGGCGGTGATGCATGAGATGAGCCTCGGGGCAGAGTCGCGGTGGTGAGTGGGGGCCTGCTGGCTCCCTGTGTGTGAGTGGCTTTTGTGTGTGGTGGTGCTGTGAGGGTGCGGCCATTGCGGTAGTTTTCGCTGCCGCTGGGGGGCTGGCAAGGCAGGTGTGGCTGGGAGGCGGGCAGGCTGGCAGCGGACTGGCGGGCCGCCGCCTCTGTGCCTGCAGGCACAGCTCTTTGCTGCTGCCCGTCTGCCTCGCCAAGGCTGTCTGTGGCCACCTGACGTCCATCGCGCGAGCCACGCGCCTCCCCCTGCCTGCAGGCACGGCTACTTTGCGGCGCTCCCGCCGCGGGAGTACCTGCCGCTCTTCTGGAGCGACGCGCAGCTCCGCCTGCTGGCGGGCACGGAGCTTGAAGGCAGCGCGGAGAGCGACAGGTCAGCCTGCGCGCGTGTGTGGGTGTGCGCATGTGTGTGTGTGTGCAGGGGTAGTATGGCTGCAGCTGCTGCTGCTGCGCCCCTGCCCGCCTGCCCACGCCTCGGCTGCCCCATCCATCCTCAGCCAGCCCGCTGCCCTCCTGCTGCACGCCTGCCCAGGACTTTGCCACCCCACGCTCTCGCCGACGCCCCCCCCACACAAGCCCTTCTGGTTCACACACAAGCGCACTCATCCCGCATGTTCACTGCAGGGAAGCCTCCGCCGAAGACTTTGAAGAGCATGTGCTGCCCCTGCTGCACAAGTACCCGGGCCGCCTGCGCCCCGCCGCCTGCACCTTAGACCGCTTCCGGGTGGCTGCCTCCTTTGTGGGCTCCCGCGCCTTTTGTGTGGATGAGTGGCACGGTAGGTGGGGCCTGGACGGAGCTGCGGTACAGGACAGCAGTGTGGGAAAGCAGAGGAGGGCAGCCGTGGATATACGACTGCTCCTGGCAATTGAACCATGCCTGGGTGCTGCGCCTGCCCAGTGTGCATGGGCTCGTGTTTCGCGTGTACGACTGGCTGCAGTCTTCTGCGCCTGGCAGCTCATTGACCTTGCTGCTTGCTGATGTGATTGTTCCCTGGCGGGCCCCTGCAGGCGATGCCATGGTGCCTCTGGCCGACATCTTCAACCACAAGGCCTCTGTGGTGGAGCTTGGGGCGGGGTACGAGGTGCACGGGGCGCAGTCCAGCAGCGACGATGATGATGATGAGGAGGAGGAGGATGAGGAGGAGGAGGAGCTTGAGGGGGAGGACGAGGAGGGTAGCGCGGAGCAAGAAGGGGAGTCTGAGGAGGAGGAGGAAGCAGAGCATGGCAGCAGCGGCGGCAGCGAGAGCGGCAGCGGCAGCGGAGGCAGCGAGGACGGCGCTGGAGCAAGAGCGAGTGGCTGGCCACACCGCCACCAGGGCGGTTGCTGCGGCAGCGATGCGCCACACGCGCATGCCCAGGCGCGCGGCTCTGGGCGGCGGCACGGCAGCCGGGAGGAGGACGGCTGCGAGGGCGGGCTGCCGGCTGTCATGGGCAGCCGCCCGGCGAGCATCTACGGCCTCACATCAGGTGACATGCTGTGCGTGGTGCTGCGCAGTGCCTGCTGCTCTCCCTTCGCCGCGCTGCAACCTGGCTCGCCCGCCCAGCCCACCCCACTCGCACCTCACCCACCCCGCACCCCCAGGCCTGTACCTGCACCCGCACCCCTTATCGACCACCTGCCTCCCTTCTCCTTCCCTCCTCCCTGCCCGCCACCACTTCACCTTTTGTCTTTCCACCCGCATGCAGCCAACGGCCTGCACCTGCGCCTCGAGATGGCCATAGTGGACCTGGATGCCCACACCCTGCAAATCGTGGCGGCCTCTGCTGTGCCTGCTGGGGCCGAAGTGCACAACACGTGAGGCTGGGGGCCCGCCGCGGGGCGGGGGAGCGGCGTGGGGCGGTGGCCAGCAGGCAGGAGGGGCAGCGGACAGCAGGGGGGCAGGGAGTGGGGAGCTGTGGAGGTGCTGTGGACCTGGCACCACCCCAGATGCGCGTCACCCTGCCACACACCCACACGCGCACATAAACATGCACCGCCACACGCAGGTACGGCGAGCTGGGCAACGCGGAGCTGGTCAAGAAGTACGGCTTCGCCCTGCGGTACAACCCCTTCACCGCGGTACAGCTGGACAAGGCGGCGCTGCTGGCGGCGGCGCGCGGCGCGCTGGGCCCCGCCCGCTGGCGCCGCCGCAGCGGGCTGCTGCGGCGGGAGAGCGATGTGTTGGAGGAAGGGGAGGAGCCTTTTGAGGTGGGCCTGGCTGGCCTGTGTGTGTGTATGTGCGCCGTTTTGGTGGCGTGTGGGTGTGGGCTGCTGGCCGGCAGTTGGGGTGCCGCCTTGCCCTGCGGAAGCCGGCCGGCCTCCGCATGCAGGCGTGCCTCAGCGGACCGAGCCTGCCTGCCGCTCTGTGCCCTGCTCTGCCGCTGCCGCTGCCTGCGCTACTGCAGGCGCTGCCCAACGGCCACATCAGTCCCGCTCTCTTTGTGGCGCTGCGCGTGCTGTGCGCGCCAGACGAGGAGGCCGCGGGCTGGAGCGGCATCGCAGACGCCCTGCGCCTGCCTGCGGCAGCAGCAGGCCGGGCAGGCGGCGGCGGCCAGGAGCAGCCGCAGCCGGAGCTGGGGGCGGTGCAGGTGTGGCAGGTGCTGGATGGCGACGGCCGACCGCTGGCGGCGGCGGCCGGCGCAGCAGCAGCAGCAGCAGCAGCCCCGGCAGCAGCAGGAGATGGAGGGGAGCAGCCTGCCCAGGGTGCAGCGCAGCAGTATGCGGCGCTGCTGGACAGAGGCATGTGCGAGCTGTTGCAAGGCGCGGTGCGGCAGCGCCAGGACGAGTACGCCTCTCCTCTGGAGCAGGACTTGCGGCAGCTGGAGGCAGCAGCGCAGCAGGCAACTGCAGCAACAGCGGTGGCGGAAGGGGAGGAGCAGCAGGTGGCGCAGCGGTCCGCGCTGCTGCTGCGGGTCACAGAGCAGGAGGTGCTGCGAGACCTGCTGGCGGCGCTGGAGCGGCGCCTGGTGGCACTGCCAGGAGACGAGCAGGCGGCTGATGGCCAAGCAGCGGGAGAAGGAGCAGCTGACGGCCAGCAGCAGCACCAGCAGCAGCACCAGCAGCACCAGCAGCAGGAAAGGAGGAAGCCAGCAGGGAAGCGGAAGGCGGGCGGCGCGGCAGCCAGCACACTGCAGAATGCCCAGCCGAGCGACAGGGGAGTGCCGCGGCAGAATGGATCAGGGCGATGACAGAAGTGATGATGCTGATGCCTGGAGCTGTGTTGCATTCCTGCTGTTTAGCCTCGGCCGTACCAAGGCCGAGGACCATTGCACCGCTTGCACAGTACACAATTCAGTTACAGTTAGGGGGGAAGACTGTTCTTTGAGCAGTACGTGCTGGAAGGAAATCACTCATGAAATTCACTCATGAAATCATGAGGGCCTGGTGTGGTTTTATTGGCATGAGAATGCAACCCCGAGTAGGGATACACAGGTGGGATACAACATTGACAGTGTACAGGCAGGGGAGGAAGTAGCAGTAGAGGCGGTTGCCGTAACCAGAGAGGAGAGAGATACAGCAGCAGAAAAAGGGATGATTGATACTGATAAGAACTTAGAGGAAGGCAACCATGAGAGGTTCATACTCATGTTTACTGTGCTCGTCTCGCATTGAATGTTTGCACAGAGGCCGCCGAAGTGGGCATTGTAACACCTGGTGGGCTTGTCCGCATCGGGCCGGCCCTGCGCCAACAGCACAACAGTGGGTGAACGCCAGGGCGAGGTGCAACGCGGCTGCAGAAGGCGGCCACAGGAATGGCGACCACCTGACTGATCAAGACCGCCCGCCGCTGCTATGAGTAAGGCAATGCAGAGGCCTCTGCTCAAGATTCCAAATGTGCAAGCGGGGCAAGCTCACCTCAAGTCAGGTGCGGCGGCAGGTGCAAATGCAAGTGGACGTGCAGATGCACCTCCTTCTCCTGCGTGCTGCCGGCCATCTCGTTGGGCAGCCTCTGCTCTCCCGCCAAGGGCAGAGGCCCCTGGTAGGGCTCATCGTGCTCCTGAGCTGAAGAGTCGATGTCCATGGGCACGGCGCTATCCACCTCTGGCTGCGGAGCACGGGAAGGAATGGGCAGGCGCGAAAGGAAAAGCCCCGGGGGGGCGCAGCAAGCGAAGAAGCCTTCGTGAAGCTTCAAACATTTTGAACGCGGCCAAGACCGCTTGGGCGCTGCACGGAACCATGCTGCACCAGGCCTTGTCCACCTGACGGCCTGTCCACCTGACGTCCTGGCGGGGGGCAACTCACAACGTGGCTGTGGAGGAGCAGGGTGGCTGTGGAGGAGCAGCGTGGCGGCATCTTGAACCAGGCCCCACGGCGGCTGTCCTTGGTCTCCCAGACACAGGTTGTTGGGAGAGCTGTCTGCAAGGGCGCCTGTGTGAGGCATGGCGGCGTTCACTCTGCTTCTGCAGCTTTTGTTTTCACAAAAAAATAGATATAGCCCATATAGGAATTACTAGCCCTTTACAAATTGCATAATATGCAAGCAAACACCAGGGGGTGCTTGAAAATCCCCTGTTGCCGTCGCTGCTGCCGCCGCTGCCGCCAGCGGCCGCTGCTGCCGCCCCAGAGGGGGGGCAACCCAGCCATTTCGGCTGATCCACATTGCATTTCTCGCCTCTTCGATACCGCCGCTTGGCAGCAGCTCCTTCTAGGCCAATTTAGTCACGAAAAGGCGTTGGGGAGCCGCAGGCGGCAGCAACCCGCGCCATCTCGGGAAGCGCTGCTCGTGGCTTCCCGTGAGGCCCGGGCTGCTCGGTTGGGTCCCATGGCATCCGCTGAGGTACAGCGAGGCAGCGGTTGATCGCGGGAGGCACCCTGCTTGCCTAAAGAGATGCCTCCCGAAAACATGCCTCCCGCACCGTTTGGCTGTCCGCAGCCTGTGTTTTGGAGGTCAACAAGTTGAAAGGGGGCCTGCGGGGCGTGGCGGGGCCCTCCCACAGCCGACTGCAAGTTTGCCGCTTGTGGCGGTGCCGCCACCGCCACCGACGCCGAATGGAGACTACCAGTGCCATGGAATGGAGACTACCAGTGCCATGGAGACTACCAGGGAATGGTGGGGTCAGCTAAATCACTTCAGCCACCCTCGTGCGTGTTTCAGGAGTGCAGCCAAAGCTCAAATAGCTGTGTTTAGCATCTTGCTGGCTGTGAAAGCCCGCCGACATCGCCGCACATGCGCCGCCAGCCGGCCCCCGCTTTCCCATGCCTCGGGGGGTGTCCCCCTCCCCTGGCCATGTCAATCATTTATTTGTGACATAAACAACCAGAGAAGATAGTGAAATCAGGGGGACACCCCCTGGAGGTATCCAAATCCACATGGAACAGGCGGCAGCGATTTGATGAAGTGCTGTCCCGACTGCAATTGCCCTTGTGAGATCTTGATGTCCACAACACATCTACACTGGTGCTGCAGAGGCCCTAGGTGTCATCCAGTAAATGTCAATGGGCCCACGGGGCGGCTCCCCCGGCCGCGGCGGCACCGCCTCCACCTCAAACCGCTGCCGCAGCTGCCCCAGCAGCAGCCCGTCCACGCGGCTGCTGCGGCTCTGGTAGGCCAGCAGGGCTCGGTCGGCGGGCCCTGCCGCCGCCAGCTCCAGCGCCGCCACAAACGGCTGCACCAGCTCCTCCAGCCACACGCAGTCGGCGGCCAGCACCAGGCGCCCCGCGGACCCGCCGCCCGGCGCTGCCGCGGCGCGGTCGGCAGCTGGCGGCAGCCGCGGCGCGCGCCAGTCCAGCGGCGCCGCCGAGGCCAGCCCCGCCAGGCCGGGGTTGGCGGCGATGTTGTGCCGCAGCGAGGGCAGCACCTCGGGCAGGTCGGTCAGCAGCGTGGGCAGGTGCAGGGCTGCGGCCGCGGCCAGGCCCGCCAGCCCGGTGCCGCTCCCCAGCTCCAGCACCGAGCGCACCCCGCTTCCCAGGATCTCTGCCGCCGCCGCTTCCATGTACCTGGCTGCTGCCGCCGCGCCGTCCCACACCGCCCAGCCCGTGCCGCGGCCCTGCATGGGAGCAAGGGGGACAGGGTGGGGCGAGGAGTGGCGGAACCAGCAGGCGGCGGCAGCAGGAGGCGGCAAGCGGCGGCAGGCAGGCACGGCAGCTGCACCTGGCCGCCCTCCTGATGGATCACGATCGCCTGCCCCCGCACTGTGAAGTCGCCGTCGTAGCGGTAGCAGTGCACCGGGCCGGGCAGCGCCAGCACGACTGACGGGGAGTCCATGTGTGAAGCAGGGCGCAAAGGGCCCCGCCTCGCACATGGACTGGCAATCTGAATGAATGGAAATGCGCAGGCACCAAATGTTCAGCAAGTGGAGCACAGCGCAGCGCAGCAGGCGCCGCCACCGACCGCCGTGCCCTCCTCTTTTCTCAGGCATTGGTTTCTCACATTGCAGGCTGGCATCGAAAGTGGCTGGCATCGAAGTGAAAGAGACAGAAACAAAATAGTGAATGAATGGTGGCAACTCAGCTGCTGTTGCAGCGGTCTGTCCCGCCAAGCGCGCCCACTGGCAGCGTGGCCCTGCCAGCCTGTGCAGCTGCCATACCCCTTCCGGCCACCGCCCGCTCCCCTTGCTGGGTGCGCTTACATCGGCTTCCCCCTCAGCCGCTCACACAGCCGCTTCGGGAGCCCCCAGCGGCTTGGCTTCAGCTGGTGTACCACCAGCCTGCCTCCATCTGCTCTTCCCAGCGCACCCGCTGGGCAGCCGGCAGCTCCACCCCCAGCTCATCGGCCAAGTCCAGGAACATCCGGCATGTGTCACCATCCAGCTTGCCCAGCCGCTTGTCGGCCCTGCTCAGGAGCGTCCGGAGCGCTGCCCGGCACGCGGCCAGCGGCTTGCCGCCGCCGTACAGCTGCATCAGCCTTTCCAGCGCAGGGAGCAGGTCCTTGACGGTGCACCAGGCCGCCGCGTGCAGCAGCTGGGCGCAGGTGCCAGCCGCCAGCAGCCCGTCGCTGCGCCTCAGCCGCACGCCGCACGGAGACGCCGGCGCCTGGCTCTTCGCCTGCCGCTCCCAGCGCTGCCGCATGGCGGGGCTCAGGGGCACCCCCATCGCTGCAGCCGTGGCCAAGAACCTGTAGCAGGTGTCGCCATCCAGCTTGCCCAGCCGCTGCGTGGCCCGGAGGAACAGCTTCTCCAGCGCTGCCCTGATGGCTGCGAGCGCCTGGGCAGGAGCCCACTGCTGGTGGCCGCGGTACAGCTGCAGCAGTTTGTCCAGGACGAGGATCAGCTCCTGCGCCTTGCACCAGGCGGCCGCGTACAGCACATCACGCCAATCGACAGCCGCTGGCAGCCAGTCGATGCGGCGTGGCTTGGGCTTGCCCCCCTGGCTCGCCGCCCGCTGCTGCAAGCGCTCCCGCTGGCCAGCCGTCAGCTTCACCCCCAGCGTGTCAGCCGCGGCTGCGAATCTGTGGCAGGTTTCAGCATCCAGCTTCTCCAGCCGCTTGTCGGCCCGGTCTATGAGCTTTTTGAATGCCGCCTGGCACTCGGCGAGCGGCTCGCCGTCGCCGTACAGCTGCAGCAGCCTGTCCAGCACAGGGACCAGCTCCTCCACCTTGCACCTGAACGCTGCTTCAAGCACCTTGGCAGGCGTCGCAGCGTGTGGCAGGCCGTCAATCTTCCTGGGTGCCTGGCGGCTTGCCCTGCTGGCCAGGCGAGCCAGAGGGCGGCACGACAGGGGCCGGGCAGCAGCGGCGGGGATGGCGGCGGGGTGGTGGGCCTGCAGTTGTGGTGAGGGATTGCTTCGATCGACTTGTGCAACGCACTCGGCGATCAAGGCGCATCGCCACAACTCACCAAGCCTTGCGGCCGGGGCTGGAAGGTCAAAGACTTGCACATGTGGGTGGTCAAGGAGGTCACCATGTTGGTCAGTCGATGCCGGGATGCCTGGATGGAGTTGCTGGCGCTCTGAGATATGTGTAGAGGTCCCACGGGAGCCTGAATTATGCGGGATGCCAACGGGGTCCTGCTCGCCGCGCTGTGCCTGCGGCGCCAACTCTGCCCTCATGCCGCGGCCTTCCGATCGCAGCGCAATTAACACCGGTGGCCTGATCGCGTCAACATAGAATGGCGCAGCCGCCGTTTGCCATCTTCTTCAGCACCAAGTCGTGCCCCATCCCCAGCACCAGCTTTGTGCAGGCGGATGCGACGCACTGGGTGGGTGCAGGGGCCCGTGGGAGTCTATGGGTGCAACCGCGGCCTGACACAGCACAGCTGCCGCTCGCACCGCCGGCGGCGGTGGCGGCAGGCAGGCAGGGAGCTGCGCCCCTCGCTTCCGCACCAGCCCTGCTCCTCGCCCGTGCTGCCGCAGGTTCTAGACGCCACCAACACCGTGACGCACGACTATCACGACTTGAAAGAGGTAGGGTCTGGCCGTCCAGCAGCGGCGGGCACTGGCGTGGGGGCTGCCGCCTGCCGCATCGCTTGCTTCTGCGGATGGGTCCCCCAGGAGCCCATGCAGCTTGAGCGGCTGGTGCTGGCGCTGGCGCTGGTCCCTCCCTGCAGGTTGCGCTGTTCCTGACGCAGGCCGGCGTGCTGCCGCCAGACCTGGGCCTGGCACTGTACGTCAGCATCGGCGGCGCAGACTGGAGCTACCGAGGCGAGCGTCTGGGCTGGGCTTCTGCTTGGGGGTGTTTGCGGAGCTGCCGCTGCTGGCTCAGGGTGCTGCCGCCGCCGCTGCTGCTGCTGCCGCCTGGACCTGAATGATGGCAGGAAGTGCAGGGCTCAGCGTGCTGCCCTGCATTGCCCCGGCTCTTCCGCCACCGCCGCTGACCGCTGTCGCCCCACCCCTCCTGCAGGGTTTGTCAGCAACGGCCACCCCAGCGATGTGCTGCCGCTGAGCTGGCCCGACCCGGCCGGCGGCCTGGCGGCGCCGCCGGGGCCCGGCTTTGCGCAGATAGGCGTCTCCCTGGAGCCACTGGCGGCGCTTGCGGAGAAGGAGGGCAGCAAGCTGGGGGCGCGGGAGGAGTTTGCAAAGCGGGTCGGCTTGGACCTCTTCAATTTCATGCAGGTTGGGCTGGCTGCTGCTGCCTCCGCTTGATGGGCGGGACGTCTTGGGTTTGCTGGTGGGGCACGCAGGCGGTTGCGGCAAGAGCTGACCTCTGAATGGCTTGCGCCGGGGCATCTCTGGCCTCAAACTACTAGTACCTGCCTGCCTCCACCTGCCCGCTGCCTTGCCTCGCCCGCCCTGTGGCCCTGTAGAGCTTTGGCGGCGTGCAGTCGGTGGGCGGGGACAAGCTGCTGGTGCCCGCCAACATCCTAGACCACTGGTACCAGCGGCTCAGCAACCGGCTTCGGCGAGACCCCGACTGGCTCACGCGGCAGCAGCAGCCCATCTAGCAGCCGCGTGTGCGCCAAGCACAGGCGCCGTAAGGCACCTGTCGGCATAGCGCACGCCGCGGGGCTGCCGGTTGTTGTTGTGTACAGCATGCCGTCCCGGCTGTTGAGCTTGTGCCTTAGATGTGAGAGGAGAGTGCAGTGCTGGCACCAGGGGAGGTGGCGGGAGCATAGCGGCGAAACGCGCTGCGAGGGATCCTCTCGCCTTCTCCTCGACAAACCCTACATTTTGCACCTTGCACAATCGTTTACAGCGACAACATGCCCTCCCACCCTCTCCTGGTGGCCGCTCTGGCTGGCGGCCTGAGCGTGTCGGGCCTCATCTTGGCTCTGCGGTGGCGGCGCTTCGAACAGTTCTTGAGGTCGGAAGAGGCACGGGTTGCACAGATCGCGGGACAGAGCCCAGCGCCCTCCGAGCGAGCGGCAGAGCTTGCGGAGCTGATGGCCGCCCTCCCCGCCCCCGTCCGCCGCTTCTTCGAGCGCTCCTTGGGCGAGGAGTACGCGCAGTTCAGGTGCTGCTCAGGCATGCCAGTGCGGACGCGGGTGACTCTGGGTTGGCCCGAGGCGCCGGCGCTCACCGCCGCTCACAGCCGCCTCCTGCACAACCATGGCCAGTCCCCCTCCTATTCACCTCCGGTCGCCTCTGCCCGCAGGATGTGGGTGGCCCGCGGCTCGGGCGGCCTGCGCTTTGATGGCGGCGACGGCTGGAAGGACCTCGCCTCCACCACACACGGCGCGGTGGGCGCGCCCGCGCTCTGCTACACCGGGAGCCTGTCGCTGGGCCTGGGCGGGCTGCTGTGGTGCCGGGGCCGTGAGGCGCTGCTGGACGGGCGGGGTGCCATGGCGTGGCGGCTGTGGGGCGCGCTGACGCTGGCCTGCCACGAGGGCGGCCGCCTCGACCAGTCTGCCCTGCTGCGCTGGCTGGCAGGTGAGCCCAACACAAGGGCTGCTGATCTGAGCTATTTTCCCGGTCGACATCTGTGAACTGGTCCCCTGCACCTGCAAGCACGGGTCCCATGCACGCACGGCGCCTCACTTTCCTCTGGATCCGTCCTGCCCCCCTCCTTGTTGTAGAGGCGGTCTGTTACCCGCCCGCTCTGCTGCCCTCCGCCCACCTTCGCTGGCTGCCTTCCGAGTCGGATCCGGAGCACAGCGCCGAGGCGGTGGTGACCTGCAGGGGCAGCACCGCCCGCGCCACGCTGACCTTTGACGGCGAGGGCCGCTTTGTAGAGCTTTTGTCTGGAGACTATTGGCGGGTGATGCCGGATGGCGGCATGGCGCGCACGCAGTGGCGCGCGCGCGGCTCGCGGCACCGGCGCTTCGGGTGAGCCAAGGCTGCCGCAGGCGCGGGCGGCTGCTGCCGCAGGGCACTCTGCGCGCTGGCTGGTGTGTGACATATGCACCCGATGTCATGGGCTTGATGGTGCCCCGCTGCCGGCCGCTCGCCTGAACGTGCCGCACATGGCCCTCCTGCCCGCTGCAGGCTGGGAGGCGGCGGCGCCGCTGCGGGCGTGGAGATACCCACCTATCTAGAGGCTGCCTGGCTGGAGCCAGATGGCAGCGAGTACACCCACATACGCTTCAACGTGACGGAGCTGCGCGGGGTCTAGGCACTAATGCATTGATGGGGAGGGCGCAGCATGGGCGCGGCGGTGGGAAGCCTTACGAAGCCTTTTTTATCAACATTTGATTCATTTTGTTCAATTCATACCCCAAGGGCGCTGCTCTTTTCAACCCGACTGCCTACATACCAGCCCATAGAAACGGCGAACAGCGCCGCCGCCAGCTCACCCCGCCCGCCACTCAGGCGGCTGACATCTCCAAACCCCGCGCAATCTCTGCCTGCCTGCCTGCGTCGTGCCAGCATCGTAGTAAGGTGCTGCGTCCCTCTCCGTCACTCGAGCCCTTTGCGCTCGCCTTCCCGAAGCAATCGGCTGCAGGATGCGCGCTGCCGTGTGCTTTGCATCCAGCAGCACCCGCTATCGGGCCATGGCGGCGATGGCGCGTTCCCCG